TTCTTTTTATTGATCATCTTTTTTGGATGGCCCGCCGCCAGTGGGGGCCTCCCAAGAGAGACATATGACATATCTGGGGGGGGGGGGGAGCAGGACAGCCGGCCGCGGGGTGGCCGCGGTGGCGGCGGTGGATTTTATGCATGTTGCCGTGGGCAGGGCGGGGAGCGGGGCGGGGGGAGCCATTTGAATGTGAGTTGTTTCCCGGCAGATCGCGGTGTCGGCGGCGGCCGCGCCGGTCGCGGCCGGCGGGGGCTTTTTGACGTGCGCCGGCTTGTGCGGGCCGCCCGCCTGGGCAAGGCCAGCCCCTGGGCAAGCGGACGCCTCCCGGCCGAGGATGGGGGAGCATCAGCCCCCTGTTCTCGCCTGCTGCAGGGGCGATGACAGATTTCGTCTGCGATGCCCCCCCGCCTCCCGCCCATCCTGGCCAATCAAAATGTGACATCATCTAGTAACTAACGGGCCGGGGCGACCGGCCAGGCCGGCGGTGGGTGCAGTTGATCTAGTAGAGTCCATGGGTAACATGGGCCCGAGGGGCGGGCGAGGGCCGAGGGGACCAGGTCGATCGCACTGTTCACTTTTGTGTCACCGCCCGGACTGTCGCGCTGCTTCCGGGCTCTGCGCGCGCGTCCACTGTTCCCAGTTCACCCCCCCCCCTCTCTCTCTCTCTCTCTCTCTCCCCCCCCCCTACCCCCGCGCATACCCTGTCTCCTCTCCCTGCATCGGACCCATTCTTTCGCCCTCCTCCCAGCCCCTCCCGCCTACTCCTTCGCCCCTTTCCTTCCAGCCGCCGCCATGACCACCGCCGCTGCCAAGCCCAACAGCAAGGACAAGAAGGACCAGGTGTCGCCTGCCAAGACCACCGAGCCGGCCATTGTCCTGAAGCTTGACTTCTACAGCGGTACTGCCTGCACCTTCTGCCCTTTCTTTTCCCGCCCCTTCGACTGCCTTTCCCATCGCAGCCGCGGGTCCCGGGCTGACACGCTCCCCCTCCCCCTCCTGTCACCATCCCCCGCGGTCCGCCCGGACAGAGCTTCTGCATCTCATTTCGCTCATCGAGCGGGCCGCTTCGTCCGGTACGCACAGCGGAGACTCGCGCCTGGCCGCTCGCGCTCTGCGTGCTCTGCCGGCCGTCCGCCGCCGCACCGGTACCCTTGCTCTGCAGAGCTTCCTCAATGATCGCCTCGTGAGCGGTGCGCCCAGCCCCATGTCTGCTACCCCCGGCCCCCCTCTTTGCGCCTGATTCCCCGGCACGCCTCGCTTCCCCCCGCCTCCCCTGCGCCCCCCCCCCCACAGTTGCCCTAACATGCCTCTCCTGGCGCCTTGCCCAGACTCCGACATCCATGCGCAGATCACCTCCATCATCAAGAAGGTACGGCCTTTGCCCGCAGGCCGCCCGGTTCTCGTGACGCCCACTCGGCCAGCCAGTCGGCCAATGGGGGATCCCCCTTTCCTGACCGTGCCTTTCTCTGCTTCATTCCCCCTCCCCCCCCCCGTCGACATTTGCCCCTCCTGTGTCTGTCCCCGCACCTAGTCCGACCCCGCCCTGCATGGTGGCGACAGCGTCACCCCTGCCAAGTCCCTCCAGAGCGTCCTTCAGGCTGCCGCTGCCGCCACCGCCGCCACCGCGGCTGGCGATGCGGCCGCCAAGGACAAGGACAAGGACAAGGATGTGGAGATGAAGTCGGCCGAGGGGCCCGGCACCGGCACCAGTGCCACCACCCCCAGCGCCGGCACCGCCCCCGGCACGACCCCGACCAAGGACAAGGAGTCCAAGCAGGTAACCCATGTGGTCCACGCGCCGCCGCATGTCAGCGGCACCGCCGAGTCCTCGCTCTTCATCGGCCTTGTGGCGCTGGTTTTCCTGCTGGACAAGAACCGCTCGGAGGAGGTGCGCTCCTGGTGTCTCCCCGGGCTGCCTGGCTCGTTTGCCGGACCCCTCGCCCCTTCCCCATGATGCCCGCCGCCATCGGCCCGTCGCCCCCCCCCCCTTCCTCCCTGCTCACTCTCCGGTTGTTCTTCCGCGCGCTCCCCCCCCCCTCCCCCCTGCTTCCCCTTCCAGGCTGGCTGGCTGTCGGAGCTGCTGCTGGCCAAGTGCGCCTCGCTGCCCCTGCGCTCGATGGACCCGCTCTATGCCAAGATTGTTTTCTACCGCGCGCGTGCCCTCGAGGCCACGCAGAACCAGACCAGCATCCGCGCGCCCTTTTTCTCGCTCCTCCGTGTGGCCACCGAGCGCCACCTGGATGAGACGCGTTCGGTGTGCCTGAATGAGCTCCTGCGGGCATTCATCAGCGCGCGGTCCTTCGACACGGCCGAGCAGCTGGCCACTCTGGCCGCCAGCCAGGCCTCCGGCACCGGGATTGCCTCGGCTCGCGATGCCAAGTCCGGGACGGCCAACGGCGGCCCGGTGGACCTGCCCAGCGCCTCGCCCGGGAACTCCACCCAGTCCAATGACACGCCGATGCTGGCCCTGCCGGCGGCCGCGTCCGGCCCGCAGCACGCGCGTTTCCATTTCTACGTCGGCCGCATCCGGGCCATCCTGCTGGACTACTCGGACGCCCTCCGCCATCTGAATCTGGCTGCTCGCCGTGCCCCGCAAATTCAGATCGCCGCCGGCTTCCAGCAGCATGTGGCCAAGTTCCATGTTGTCGTGCAGCTCCTGATGGGCGAGATCCCGGAGCGCTCGCTCTTCTGTGAGCAGTTCCTCAGCCGGCCGCTCGTGCCGTACTTCCAGCTGACGCAGGGTGCGTGTGCCCGCGGCAGGAGTGACCCTCGGCGAGAGCCAGCCTGTTGTCTTTTCCGGGCCAGCCTTTCTTCCCTCCTCCCCGCGCACTCTCTCTCTCTCTCTCTCCCATTCGTTGCCCTGACATCTTTGCCCCCCAATCACGGCCCCAACACATTTCCCCGTGTGTGTGTGTGTGTGTGCGTGCCATGCTACGCCACCGTCAGCTGTGCGCACTGGTGACATGCGTCTCTTCCGCGAGACCTTGGCCAAGTACTCGCACCTCTTTACGGCCGACGGCACCATGACTCTGATTCGTCGGTACGTGGTCTTGCCCCCCCCCCCCCCCCCCGCCCCGCCCCGCTCTTCCTCCTCTCCTCTCTCGTGATTCGCCTGCGGCCTTCTGTTTCCCTGTCCCCCCGCAGCCACGCTGACGCATCTCCCCACCCGTCTCCCCTCTCGCACTTTGCCCCACCGTCCTTCCCCTGCACCCATAGTCTGCATCACACCGTCATCAAGGCCGGCCTGCGCGTGCTCGCCTCCGCGTATACCCGCATTCCGCTTGAGCTGGTCGCCAAGAAGCTGGGTCTGGTCACGGCCGACGCATCTGCTGCCGATCTGGCCGCCGCGCGTGACAACGTCGAGGCCATCGTCGCCCGAGCCATCCGTGACAATGTCATCGCCGCGGAGATCGACCACGAGGGGGGATTCCTGCAGACCAAGGTGCGACACTGCCTTCCTCCCTTCCTTCCTTCTGCTCTTTCGTTTGGTTTCTCCCTTTGCCGCTCTCTGTTCCTTCCCCGCGCCCCTCCCCCCCCCCTCCGATCTGCTCCGGGGCTCGGCTCGCCGCTCACCTCATTGCCACACCGCTCCCTTTGCCACCCACAGGACGAAGTGAACAACTACACAACCAACAAAACAAAACACGTGTATCGCCAGCGCGTGGACTACTACATGGCCCTGTACAATGCCTCGGTCAAGGCGCTGCGCTTCCCGGACGAGTCGTCCAAGGACACCGACGAGGTGGACCCCGAGAAGGAGGAGGAGCGTCGGGCCAAGGACCAGCTGGTCAACCGCCTGAGCTATCCCCACGACATGGACACCGACGATGAGGATGACGTGTTGCTCGACGAGGACGACGAGTCGGACTTCTAAGCCCGCATGCGTGCCTTCCCCCCCTCGGCGAAATCCATCCACACTTGCCGCGCTTTTCTCCCGTGTGGTGTGCATGCGCACACACCCCCCCCCCCCCCCCCCACCACCCCCCCCCCACCCCCCCCCCCCCCACCCTCTCACATACACATATATCTTTCCTTCATTTTGTTCTCCTTTGCTTTCAGGTGTGCCGTGTGCATCCAAAGGGAGGAAGGGGCAGGGGGCGTGCTCTTGGTCTAGAGCCGGAGGGCGGCCTGGGGGGGAGTTTCCGCCACCGGCTTTCCTCCTGCGTCG